GCTGCTGGGTATATAAGTTCTGTCTCTCCATTGAGATTCATTCTGGTCTCTCTTCTTGAACAAGCAACACCTCCTCCAGCAAGCTCCACGCTGTCAGCATTCATTCAACCAGGAGGCCAGCAACAGGCAACATCTTCTCTAACGAAGCTCCTGCACATCTACCTCCTTCAACACGCTACTCACTGAACGTCTCTACTGAGCAGCTCCTAACCACACGGCACCTCCAGCACCAGACTGTCTATCATATAACTTATATTATACAAGAAAACCACCTTAGAGTTTCCATCCATCCTGAGTGCTAGACAACATTATACCACGAACTCCTACAGTACTAATAAAAATCCGGAAATATCCTTTGTAACATTACTGAATAATTTCTACTGTTAAAACACATATGTAATCTAGCAGCTAGCTAATTCTCAATAAGTAGGCGAAGTGTAGTGGATTTCTCCCCAACAAACGCTTGTCGCTGAGTAGCCGACCCCGCAAATTCCCCAGTGTATGCCTCGTGGTCTGGGTCAACCAGCGCCGCCATACATCACGGAGGTCAACTACTAAGCCACGCCTACCCCCGCTATTTAAGACCTGACCTCGTGGTGACCTGTCTCTTCTAGTTACAGCCGCAGCAAGCTACACCACCTCCTCCGCCGCTGCCTGGCGGCCCTCGCTCCCGCCGGCGAGCATGGCGACCCACAAGCTGGTCCTCCTCTGAGCATCCTCACCAAGCAGCTCTCTCTACATCACGCTTGTAACCACGCTGCCACTTCCCAGCACCAAGCTGCATTGTACATCCAATACAACATGTATACAGAGAGCACATTGTGAGTTTCCTTTCTCCATCCCATCCTGAGTGTGAACCCAAACAACTCGTACCCCACAAGGCTAAGCTACACCTACAGTAGGTCTCTAGCCCAGGCGAAAACGGCACCACCCCGCCACCCATATACAGTACTGTACGTATTGTATGTCGTGAATAAGAAACGGATGACAATAGCAATTTTCACCCTCATTTTAACTTCCCATCAATATTCCTTTCTTTGTGTGTGATTGTAACTTTTTAATGCAGTGTTTATTATTATTATTATTATTATTATTATTATTATTATTATTACTGCAGCCTATTGGCGGCACTGTTCCCTGCTGGCCTGCCCTTTGGGCCCGATGTAACTTTCAGATTACCACCCGGTAATTTGAACCTTACTCAAAGTGCCAGGGGTAAGTTCTAACTAGGTTCAATATACACCAGAGGGTAATAAAGACAAGTTCAAACTACCCCCTTTAGTTTCAAATTGCTTCCACGCACTCATAGGAAATCATGTTTTGCGTGTTAGAAAAACACGTCCACCCTCGGTTATATGCTTGCATACGGATAGAGACCTACGACACATGTGCCGTCTTCTCTAAGTAGTAAAGTACACTGTCATGATATACTGAGCTTATTAACGAAGATATTTAAATGAATACTGTAGATTCTTTGATACTAAGAATTATAAAATCGATGTTTTAAATACAATGAATTACAATTTCAAACTCAATACTGTTCTTGCATAACCACACAAAACAAACAAGCTATATGGCCAAATCAACTGTGAGAAATAGAGGGTTACCTGTATTGGAAACGAGGGAGTACTTTCAATTTAAGTTCGTCTGCCCAGAGAGTGTTGTGACGGCACAGAGTGTAAGCTCTTTGAAGACCAGACTTGACCAACACTGGAGCAGTATCAGCCCATACGAGCACGTACTGATCGTTATAAGAACAGCCCAGTCCCAACCATTGTAAAAATTATCAATAACTTGTAATTAACCAGTGTACAGTATTCACTCCCAGTCAATCTTACCTTTTTGCACTGTCACTTTGTTGAAATGCCCTGTAGTTTGAGTTTCTCCCCACCTAGTTATATATTACATTTGTCAATCAAATGACTCATTCCCCAATTATGTAACTGTATATTGACAGTTTTTTGGCCACCATGTTCTTTCAGTAAACCGCTATTATTATTATTATTATTACAGAGAGAGAGAGAGTCCATGCTCAGTTGCAATGGATTAAAAAATTGTCGAGGAACAAGTGAGGCAAAATAATTAGTAAAAATAAATAAATAAAAGGCAATGTATATAAAAGTCGAAATTAATGTCAATAATATTATCATAAGAAATGGAGATGATTTAATAGCACGAAGTTTTTTTTTTTATTACTACTTATTGGGCACCCCCCTACATCCTTGTGTAAGGTGAAGCGCAGAAGCGTTTACAGCGCCCAACAGGGAAGCATTCTTGCCTTTATGTCTCATGAGTTAAGGGCGTAGAAGCCTGAAGAGTCAAGGGCGTAGAAGCCTGAAGAGTCAAGGGCGTAGAAGCCTGAAGAGTCAGTGGTTTATGTCATCAAGTTATTGGAAGCTCCAACAACTTTCCCTGAATACGAATTCGCAACTTTCGACTTACAACAGGTACCTACTTTACTGCTAGGTGAACAGGGACTAATGGGGGCTAGGAAGTAAGTCCAAACAACTTCCACCGGCCCGGGAATCGAACCCGTGACATCACGCATGCGAGGCAAGAACGGTACCGCTTCTACCACCAGTTCCCCGCACGAAGTTAGACGAGTGTTACGGCGTAAAAGCAAGCACCTAGAGGTGAGGTGGGCTGGAGGGGGGAGTTGGGCATACGCCGACACAGTTAAAGGTGGCGTGCTATATACACTGTCTGCAAGCACGCACTGAATCATCTGCCAGTATGCCCCCCGGGTAACTCACGCAAACACACGCTACTGTCCCTCTCTTACCTCCTCCTAAACTTCTTCAATTTCCGAACTATAACTTCCTTCCCCCACCTCTAATCTTCTTTCACCCCTCCTTTCTCTACAAAAAAAATGATACTGTAGGGTAGGGAGGGAAGGAGGGGGGGTAGCCATCAATGATAAGGCATGAGCGCTTCCTTTTACCTCGTGTCGGTCGTCGATATACGGTAATATAATACAGATTGAAGTCTGTCACTACTGACCCAGTTCAAGTCACTGTTGTTAATGAAAATATGATCAATATACAGGTACGTCAAAAAAGTATAATGAACAGTTCCCTCAAAATTGTATTATGAAAATAATATAAAGTCCACGACAGAGTATCGCATGAAAAAATCGAGATACAAAACACGTGCTGAGAGTGAGCAAGGCAGGTGGAGGGAGGAGACTGTGGCTGGCTGAGGGATGGGTAGGGGAGGGAAGGTTGTCGTGTCCCGTGTCCATCTGTGGCTCAGTCGGGGAGTGTTGGGGACGTTGTCAGCAGCGCCGCATAAGAGCCGAAGCTGCTGGGCGGGTCGACTTACCCGAGATGTGGGCCAACCTTCAAGCTGATAGTCGACCCCAGACACCACCCACACCCGCGTCCCAGTGAGCCGCTTTCCTTACAACCATACATTTTTTTTCCTTTTTGGGATTTTAAAGTTATATCAGTGAACTAGTTAAGAAAACCAATAATACTGGCACTGCCAAGAAGACGAGTATGGCCATCACAAACAATACTGAGTACACCGCTATTAACAGTGAACTTGAACAACATTAAAGGGGGTGTCGGATATGATTTTTGAAGACACTATCTTGGTATGATGACGTCTGCCGCTGTGCGGCGCTGAACTCTGTTATACTATAGATTAGAGATTTATTGATGAAGTGAAATCGAACAGCAATTCCACGCTATAAGGCGTAGAGCTGCTCGAGGCGCTTCACTATTGCTTTGTGTGAAAATTTTCCCAGAATCTTTAACAAGTAAAATGTTATTATATCGGGAGTTGAGCGCTGTTGGCCGTAAATAATCCTTACAATTCATACGCTACATTTCAGAATGCGTTAAGTCACAGTTTCAAAGATTTATTTCGCAAACGTGCAGAACTATTTCGGCGGGCCACAACTCTACTGAGTCATGTAAACATTTCTCCACGCCCCGTGTCTCCCGTATATATGGCATGGACTATTTCCTGACACATTAACTCCCGTCAGTAATAACTTCATTCTTAGTTTTTAGTAGAATCCTTCAAATTTAATTATTTTCGTTTCTTTTATGTGCAATCTGTCAAAAACCCCAGTTTACCATAAAAATACTGAATGCGACTACACTATACCTTGGTAACACCAAGTGGCCTTTAATTTCGTCTTCAAAGAGCGTGGACTGATCAATATTGTCATATTTTCAGATCCATGATAACAAGTACCGGGAGACTTGATAATAACCGGAGTCGTATCCTCACCAAACTGGATTCAATACTTTATATCCCCTAACTTAACCAAACCTTCTATAGCCTAATTGAACTTAAATATGCCCCTGCCTTAACACAGTGTTATAATTCATTCCTTCATCCCAAACATAACTTAATCTGATATTAACAAAAACGGATTTATTTCTTAACGTAATTTAGTACACTTCCAACACAATGAACCAAACCTAACCCTCATTATTGGCGAAACAAAATCGGGTTCGTTTTCTCGTCCAGACAGCCATTTGGCCACACTCGTCAGATTTAAATTAGAGGTGCTGCTGGCATCCTCTCACGGCGCGTGATGAGGAAAACATAAAAAAAAAACTTAGTTGGCAAGAAGAAACATAGCACACGTGAATGGGTACCTGCAACCTTAGTATCTTATTGAAGTAACTGATTATACAACACCAATTTGTAAGTGAATATTGAATGTAAAAATAGCACTAGAGTACTCAATTGTGGTAAAAGCAGTAACACGATCTTTTGTGTATAATAATAATAATAATAATAATAATAATAATGACTATTACTACTACTACTACTAATAATAAAAAATAATAATTCCCCTAACTGTATTACGCTAAACTGCAGCTGGAGGGGGGGATGGACGTGAAACTGAAAATGCAGGATGCAACACACAGGGAAACTATTTCTATTTCTGTAGAGGAAGAACTGTGAGCGAAAGAAATCGAGTGGATGGAGGCCGGAACGGAATGGGAAAGTCACTGTCAACAACATTACTCTCCACTGACCATCTGAGGTTGGTGAAGGGTAGGTCTGTGAGGCAGTGTTGTGGTGTGCCGTAGCTGGCAGGGGTCTGGGTGGGAGCCCTCAGGTCATGGGTGATGCAGTAGACGGCGATGGTGGAGGTGTTGAACCGTTCCTCGCTCAGGGCGCTCCTCTCCGTGTACATCTTCAGCTCGTAAATCCACGCTGCCGACGATACCAACACGTTACTTTACACTTAACTGGCTACACGCTCATACAGTTAACTGGCTACACGCTCATACACTTAACTGGCTACACGCTCATACAGTTAACTGGCTACACGCTCATACACTCAACTGTCTACTCACGCTCATACACTCAACTGGCTACACGCTCATACAGTTAACTGGCTACACGCTCATACACTCAACTGTCTACTCACGCTCATACACTCAACTGGCTACACGCTCATACAGTTAACTGGCTACACGCTCATACACTTAACTGGCTACACGCTGGCACGCTCGCACGCTTAACTGGCACGCTCACGCTACACTTAACTGGCTACACACAGTTAACTGGCTACACGGCTACGCTCATACACTTAACTGTCTAACTGGCTACACGCTCATACACACTAACTCATGCTACACGCTCATACACTTAACTATACGCTCATACACTTAACTGGCTACACGCTCATACACTTAACTGGCTAACACGCTCATACATAACCTTAACTGGCTACACGCTCATACACTTAACTGGCTACACGCTCATACACTTAACTGGCTACACGCTCATACACTTAACTGGCTACACGCTCATACAGTTAACTGGCTACACATTAACTGGCTACACGCTCTCTTAACTGGCTACACGCTCATACACTTAACTGGCTACACGCTCATACAGTTAACTGGCTACACGCTCACTTACACGTTAACTGGCTACACGCTCATACACTCAACTGGCTACACGCATACACTGGCTACACGCTACACTAACTGGCTACTCACGCTCTCTTAACTGGCTACACGCTCATACAGTTAACTGGCTACACGCTTAACTGTCTATACGCTCATACACGCTACACTCAACTGGCTACACGCTAACTATACACTTAACTGCTCATGCTGGCTACACGCTCATGCACTCAACTGGCTACACGCTCATACACTTAACTGGCTACACGCTCATGCACTCAACTGGCTACACGCTTATACAGTTAACTGGCTACACGCTCATACAGTTAACTGGCTACACGCTCATACACTTAACTGGCTACACTCTCATGCACTCAACTGGCTACACGCTCATACACTCAACTGGCTACACACTTCATGTTTAGCAGATGATAAGTGCTCATTACCCTTTTATTTTCTAGGAAAGATTCTTATTTTTGAAACACAACCCAAAACTATCATTTGAAAAACTGCAACTACTGTATTAATAAAATAAGTACTATGACTACTATTATTATTTCAATTTAATACTATCACTGCAAGTACAATGACGACCATCGCCACTACAATTACTACAATCAGTAATACTTGAACTTTGCTGGTATTCTAACAATTACTAGCATTAGGTTAGGATAGGTTAAGTAAGGTTAAGTTTGGTTAGGCTCTGTTAAATTAGGTTGGGTTAGGCTAGAGTGGTTAAGCTTCAGATAAAATTAGCTTAGACATATGAACCAGGAGGAAGAACTACCTCACAGGACCAGGTTAGAACCTACCTGAACCCTGGTCCAGGTCTCCGCCAGGCGCTGACCAGGTGAGGTTGACGGTGGTGTTGTGTACGGATGTCACGGTCAGGTCAGTGACACGTGAGGGCGGGGTGAGGTCAGCCGAGGTGACACGGGCCACTGTCAGGGTCACTGCACCACTGCTGGCACTGAACTGACCCGCGCTCACTGGCACCACTCGGCCATCTGGAGGACAACACCGGTAATGTATTGTGAGGTATTCAGAATTGTCCTCCTCCCCCCCCTCCCCCCTCCCCACATGTAGCCAACTGAAGAATCCCCCCCCCGCCCACCTTGTTCTAACTGATGAATGGCATTCCCACCCTAGTGTTGGTTAGGTTAGGGGCTAACCTAACCAAACCTATATACCCCGAGCACACCCACCCGAAGAATTTCTCCTTCATTTGCTCGACAAATTCTACCCAAAATAACATTATGAAAGTAATGCTATTTATACAATGTATATATCGTAGGAACAGAACTCTGATCCTACCAACGTCAATTCATACAGCAACAGGGGAGTGAGGGAGTCTGCAGGGTATACTACTGAAAATCAAATGAACTCCTGAACTGGCGTGTTTACATCAAGATTTTTTCTTTTGATGAGAGTAGTAATACAGTAATTTCAGGCCATTTATATAACCTGAGTCATCAGGTGTGCGGTGTGATGGATGAAACTGATGACCCCAAATTCCTCTAAAAACACAAAAACAAAAAACGATAGACGTATCTCGTAATTTTTTAATTGTTGACGATTAGAGCATTTAATTTCCTACAATAAGCGCCTAACTCCATGTCACCGAACCTAACCTAAAATGGATCCTAAGTATTGCGTGATGATGTTGGTTCCTACGTGAATGAAGATGTGAGTCGCGACATTATGGTTTGAGAAGGTTTAATCCACGTTTGTGATTGGTTGATGGCTAGCGACAGTACGTATGCATTATTACACTTATTTGAGAAAGTTAACTTCTCTTTGTCTCGGTTGTTATAAGTTGTTATTAACTAACTACCCATAACATATAAACCCAACAGAAATAATACTAAGATTGTGCATGTAATCGGTTATCTGTTCCCGACAAGATATAAAAAAAAACAACGATAATAATCCTGGAATGTTTTAATATTACCTCACACTCAAGGATCAACAAAGTATTGGTGTTTGTCTCTTATTACTGGTGGTTGTAGTCTACAGGAACAGAAAGACAACTTCTTAATCTGGTAACAGTACGAAAATTTTATACTGAGTAGGAGGACGGCGATCATTAAGAAAGTAACAAGAAAAAAGTAACGGAACAAAGTAACAAATTATTCTAGGAAAAAAGTATCAATTTACTGGAAAAAGTAACAGCATATACATAAAATAAATATGAATAAAAAATATATATACAAGGACTTTATTGATAAAATATACATTATTACATTATTCTAGTACAGTAGGTGTGACATCCTGTAGGTGGCGAGAAGGTTTCTTTAGTGTCTGGAGGTGTTGACAGCTTCTGGAGACGGGGAGGGAGGGGTTCATAAAGTGCTGAAGTAGTAGTCGGGTCGTCAACTTCTGAAGGTTAGGTTAGGCTAGGCTGGGTTGGGTTAGGTTGGGTTGGGTTAGGTTAGGTTAGGTTAGACCGCACATAAGTAATTAGGTAGTTTAGACGAAACCATCTATTTACTGATACTTCACTTCCTGTTACTTTATTTCCTGTTACTTTTTAGCCGTTACTTTTTTCCTGATTCTTTTTTCTGTTATCCTTTTCCCTGTTACTTTCTTTCCTACATTCGGTGAAGACAGCACTACTCACCTCTCCTCCTGGGCCTGAGGACGGAGGCTGCCCCGTGGTGGTCTGAGGCGGTAGCGGAGAGGGCATAGCGACCCTCCCCTGGCAGCCACGTCACGTATCTGGTGTACACTCCGTCCTGTGCTCGCACATCCGGCTCTGTACACAGATAAATAAGTAAATATTATAAAGGAGATCTAGTGTCAATCATCTGATCCAGTTACTTGGACAACAATTAGTATGTGTGTCATTCTCTTTATGACGTAATTGTGAAGGATATTGGCTCGTTATCATTTAAGGAAATGCTGAGCGTGTGAACACAGATGAGAGCATCAAAAAGGGATATCAACAACTTCAGTGATCATAATTATACATTTAATATAAATTACCTAATGAGAGGGACAGTAACGTCAATTTCAGAAAAAAGGCTGCTGAAAGGATATAATATGGCAATGGCTATTGTATGAGTCTGAAGCGTGGACACTTTCAGCAGACACCAGAAAGAGGTTGGAGGCCTTTGAAATATGGTGTTATAGGCGAATGTTAATAATAAGTTATACTGACAGTAAAATATATGAAAAAAGTACTATGTTAGTCAAAACCTCGAGAAATACTTAATAAGTAGAGAAAAAATAGATATTTTGATCATATAATTAAGGATGAGGGAATAATAATATAAATATTAATGGACAAAGTTGAGGGTAAGAAGGCCAGGGAAGGCAGAGAGATACAAAGCCTTAGAGTATTGGTAAAAACAGCCTAAGGAAGTTTACAATGGAGGACTGTGGTCGCCAACCCACAGATATGAGGACGGCACTCTGATCGACTCTTAAATTTCCTGTGATAGCTGAAGCTGGTAATGAACAAACATTAAAAGGACTTATTCATAAGTTAAATCCTCCGGTATGAATTATACGTCGAATTTACATATTAAAATATATAATTTTGGGGTACTTAATAGTTGAAAAAAAATTACAACACGTACCAGCGTTTCCATTGTCCAGAAGCTCCACCATCATATCTGTTGACCCGTCTTCACTTAGGTGACTCACTTTCAACATAACCTTTGACCCTACGACAGGTCGGCCATCCAGCATCACTTTAGCCCACACAACTAGAGGCCTTGAGCCAGGCTTCAGGGGAACGTGACCGTCGTTGTTGGTGTTGAGTGTCACCTCAATACCAATATCATCCTGTTTTCTCTCATACACGTCAACCGTCACAGAAAACGGAAATTCGATGGAACTTGTAAGGAACTTTACAATGTACGTGAATTCTCCTCCGCTTCTATCGACCACCGTCCAGAAACGTTGGTTTGTGTCTTTCATGATGTCTGTTTCCTCTCCAGACGGACTTGTGACTTCTACAATCTGTTGAAGATAAACAATAAAATTAATATATCTGGTTGTAAGCAAAAATAACATCTTAACACGAGTTGTTATGGTTATAGTCCACCCTTTGCAGAGTGTGTGGGGCATAAACTGTACTATACTGTGCTGTACTTCTGTCTTTGATATTATTATTTGTTTGGATTATAGGTTCTATGTTACATTCACAAACAATATTAGAAAAATTGCATGCAAAGATATAACTGGAACTGGGATGAGCTGTAGACGCCGGGTCTACTCTGTTAACACTAGTCAAAGGATAATTTCCAAGATCTCATACAACAGACCACTTAAAAGATCCCTATTGTAATATAATATTTGGGATAAGTATTTTATATAAATTAAACAACCATATTCACTCAGTATCGAGTGATAATAGAGAAGGCAAGGACATAAGTGAGCCTTGGTGAGGTGTTTACCTTAGCGTGGTACTGTGTGGTGATAACAAGGAGGAGGTGGTCGCCTGCTGGAGGGAGACTGACTCTGCCTGTCAGTGTGCTGTACGGCCCACCACTCACCACTCCTCCCTCCTCCACCTTTAACACCTGCCCTCCCACCTGGTAAAATATAAATAAAATCAGTAACAACGTTGTTATGTACATGCCTATTATTTGTATATCAGAACTTTTTGTGGGAAAACAACATATAATTTTAAATACTACTACTTTAAGTGTTACTTGATTTCCTTTTTAACAATGCTGTGGAAGGAAGTGTGAGTTGTTGGCAACAAGAATTGCCAGAGTTAAGTCGAGATACGAACAGAGAATCTCATCTTTTAACTATTAAACTCAACTAACTGACAATGTAAACAAATAAAACATAACCAAACCGGAGGCAGTGTGAACCTACCCTGACGAGTGTGGGGTCCCCCGGAGCAGCGAAGGCAGCCCTTGAGGCAGCGGTCAGCACACGGGCAGCCTGCTGTTCCCCACCCTCATGGCCCTCTCCTGCTGGTGGCGCCACTGCTGGAGGACCTGGTAAAACCCATGAACCCCCTAGACCAGCCAGCTGGTCAAACATGGGGTCAGTGGCGGGACAGAGGGCCAAGGTGTGGATAGTGGAGATGTTGGTGTGCGAGGCTCGTGCCAGGGTAGCGGGGGTCACCACAGGGGAACATGCAGCCAGCAGCAACACTCCAGCCTCAGGCGCAACACCGCCACCCTCCAGCATCTGTAATGGAGGGAGTGTTTCATGTAACTGTGACGATAGATCCAGTAATCAAAACATTTCCTTTAGGTCCTTCAACAAACTGGCATTTTTTATATGCTATGGTACATATGTTATCTAGTGAATAATTTGTCACAAACACAGTGTAAAAAACACACATTCTAATTACGTGCAACAGAATTTTGAATATCATCCCCATAATAATAAACTAATGTTGAAAGTTAAGACATGTTTAAACAAACACAGAACAGACTTATTACAGTACAGCTCCCAGGGCTACATTGTGTGTAACTGAAAAATTAACGCTGACTGCAAGTGACTAACGTTAAAATGAACGTGAGAGCAGTTTCAATGATAATATTACTTTAAATACATAAAACCAAATTACAATAATCTTATGTGCTACGTAACCGACTTTAACTCTTTGGCTGCTGGAGGTTTCCTTAAACTGAATAAACTTGTCTGGTGTTGGTCAGAATAAAATTCTAAAGTGCGACAATAGGCACAAAAGGGTTAACCGAGATAGGTTTTAAACACTTTGTATCAGACCTTAGGTATCGTGTATTATATTTTATACGCCAGTTACCTGACTGTACACTATGCAACTGATATTCTGTGCAGGAAACTAACTTTATATACAAAGTACCTGATGCCAGGCACACCAAGTAACTGACCTTGGCAGCCTCGTCCAGGACACAGCTTAAGCAGTACTCCCCGCCGTAGACGCCGTGTTCCACCTCGTCCACAGACGGCAGAAGGGTGAGCTCATCTTCCAGCTCTGGGGCAGTGGTGGGGGCAGGGAGCAGAGGGCCCAGGGTGAGGGGGTAGGAGGCGTTGTTGTAAGCGGCCAAGACCCCCACCTTCACTTCCGCCCCTAGACCCCACAACCACCGCAGGATGCCACCACGTAGGTCGTTCATATTTACCTGGAAGAACACTATTAAATAAAAGTCTGCCACACACGCTGTGAAGGAAAGCATAATGTGTTGTCTAACGGTAGACCCTGCTGCCATATGGCATCACGAAAATTGTGACCAAGTCCCAGGTTGCTGATCTGACTTTCTGCCTCATTTACACACAATTGCAGGGTCTCAATTATTTCTCTTATTTTGACAACACAACATACTGTACATATATCGTTTCTCACTATTGATCTTTTTTTTTGGTATTTATTGATGGTCCTTTATTATATTATATTACAATATATTATATTATAATAATTATATTATATTTTTATTAATTTTTTATAAATTTGTATTAATTATTATTATTTTTATTATTATTATTATTATATTTTCATCCCCAGGCCCTGATGTGGGTCATTGACCTGTGCCCAGGTGGGCTAATCCCATAAAAAATACTGTACTACGAGAAATTATAATATCTCCATATTTCTCTACGTGACAGAATAGAGTTTATTAAAATTAGTCTCAGGAAGCCAATTCAAATAGTCTGCGTTGCGTGACTATTTATCTGTGGAAAGAAAACAACTGGTGTTGGAGAACCAATCTGTAGGTCCTGGAAAAGAGAGACTTGTCTTATGTAGACCAACATATTTACAGGTACTGAAGAGCTACATTATCTGTCTTCACTGGTTTTATTAATTTATTTTCTGGGTGGTGATAGATTATAGCTTGAGTTGACGGCACCAACCTACTGCATGTAACTCTCATATAACTTTACTGTAGCTAGTACCGGCTGCTATCATGAGACTAACTCTTGGTCAAGTGGGCCAAAACCTTAACTGATTTTGAATGAAATTCTTGCATGCGGCGGACAGCACGTGAGATACAAGTGTTACTTCGGTTGTATATCTGGACCCACGTCTGGGTTATTAAATGGGTAAGTGTAGCGTCTTGCTCTACTTCCATAATTTATTAAAGTTAGGTGTAGGAGTGACCAGGTGACGTCATCAACACTGTGTTTACCACTTAGGAGAGAGTGAACAAGGGCGAAGTTTTGTATTACCGTTAATAATTATTTAAAAAATGACGGTCGTTTTAAAATATGAATAAAATATGAATACACTTAGAGATGACCCAAGTTCACGAGGCTTGTAGAGTCGCGACAAAATATATCATGTACTCGATATAGATTAATGTATAGGAGTCGTTGTTAACCTCACCTGTGTGACGGCTTGGTCAGAGAGGTCGAGTGCCAACACTACGGCACTAGGGGCGGGGCCCAGCAGCACTAGGGACGGGGGAGGAGGGGTCCAAGTAGGTGGTGGTGGAGTGCTCTTGGCCTGGGTTGACGGACTCCAGGACGGGATACTGGAGGGCCCCGAGTTCAGCATTCTTGGCACTTCATCATCCCACTGAGCCACGGGTCTGAGGAGGAGCAGTGTTATTATACTTATGGTCATATGTAGTATCCTAAAAGGTACTGTACACTGAATTAGATATAAAAATATACACATTATGTTGCATACTTGTTTTTCTTGGCTTATCAATACATTTTATCTTTAGAAAATGTTTTAATTGAAAAAAAAAAGACTTCATACACTACTACAACTAACCTTAAGTTGTCCGTGGTGTTAATGTCATGGCTGCCTACAGGGGCCTCATAGATGGTTAGGTTGGCGTTCTGCTGGAAGTGTCGGGGCGCTGGGAGGGGTGGAGGAGGGGTGGAGGTGGCAATGTGGGCGGTTACCAGACTGGGCCTCAGTGGCACCACACCACTCTGCCTTCCCTGGGTGTCGTCTCGTCTCTTTCGGCTGATCTTGATGTTTTCATGGTCTGTGGTCGTTCGCTGAATTGCCACAAACGCCTGGATAGTGTCGTTATCATCACCCGCTGTGTGATTATTGTCGACAGTTTGTCTTCTCACGTCACTTAAGAACAATCCTTCGCTTATAAAGGAAGCTTCCACATTTGATAATAGTTCACCAGAATCACCTAACGTAATATTCTGGGCATCGATTCCAGCTTCTATACTGGTCGAGTTTTCCTTGTCTGTAGAAAAGCTGTCCTCATAGGTGTTGCCCTCACTGTTGCCGTCACTGTTGTGTTGATGATCAGTGTGTTGTGTGGAAGCCAGGGTGGAGGTGCTGACGGGGTAACTGGTGAAGGTGGTGCGCTGGGTGGTATGGGGAGTGGTCTGGTGTGGTGAAGGCTTGGCGAAGTCGCGGTGTTGGTTCATGACGTCCCATACACTCCTCGCCCCACACAGTAGGTTGTGGGGTGTGGGAGCGTCCTCGTCGTGGGTGTCTGAGTCACAGAACCCCCACATCTACAACAGTACAAAAAATATGTTAACTGATCGATAATATCCTTTAATGAACAAAATTCCTAAAAAGTTACCTATAGTATTTACTACAAACACATGTTGATAGTGGTGTTGAGACAGTTTACTTAGCCAGAAAAATACAAAGTGAATAACAATATTATCATGGCTGAGCCAGTTGAGTCTGAGTTCTCTTGTAGGCACCTGATATATACTGTACATTTATCTCAAGGAAGTATTATGTAATATTTAGTATCATCTGCAATAGTGCACATAGCATGGTGGTAATAAAAACACATGAGAATGTTACCGCGATTATCACCTCGTTATTTATTTGATTTGATTATTTTTTTATACATTTATAGTATCTTATAAGTGTATACATATTTTACAATGGAGTTTAAGTCTCTTATGAATACTGTATACACATGAAGATATAAAGAATAACTATATAAGGACTACACTGTTTCGACTGAGAAAATATAGGCGGACTGAGTGCCTCCAGGCTGACAACAAAATGGATGACTTACCTGAGGCAGGTCAGAGCGGTAGAGCAGGGAGGTGTTGACCTGGGCTGTGACGTCAGGGACCCACACACACTGCCTCACCTCATCTTCTGTGTTCTCATCACACTCTTCCGACCTGAAGGACACAACACCCTCATAAATCCACACAGTAAAGATCATGACAATTCTGATAATCCACTTAAACACATCTCAATACATCCTGACAAGAAAAGATCACAACTACTTTAAAATTTCACAATTCTAACCCAATAAATGACAACAAATCCCTTAAGAAAAGCTACGACTTGTATTCTGTGATGCCGCCCATGACACGACGAATGGGGAGGGCACCCTGACAACGAGGCCGGACTAAGAGCGAGTATACCTGGCGCCACAACACAGGGGGATGATATAGTAAGAAAATTCACCACTGGGAAAGAAAGTGGATAGGAGGAAAAAGAGACGGTGATTTGAATCGTTGTGTAATGTTTTCACTCATTCCAACTACTGTTTGTGGAGTGAATTTCTAGTCTCTCTCTCTCCCTCTCTTTCCCATTTTTCAGTTTCATTCATTTCCTTTCTGTCTCCCCTTTCAACATAATATTTCAACTACACACATAACCGGTAACGTAAAGGAACATAACATAGACACCACAGGGAGGTCCACACTGACTCAGGCGCATACGACAAATTTCCCTCGTAAGTAAAGATGCAAAAATGTATTTAAAATGGTTAACTTTAACTAAAACACAAACATAACGTACAAAGAATACCGTTAAAATCATTTCCCAGATCTTCCGGAGATATGTTCACTTACTGCCAGTTAGAAGAGAACATTATTGTTGTTGATACGTTATAAATTACACTTAAACAACGAGGGTATGCTTAACTATGTTCCCAATACAGCAATAAATAAAATATATGAGAGATAAAACTCGGTTAGTTTATGATGTAGAGAATATAATGTGAGGAGTTTGGACGTTATTATTGTGTCAACCAGTTGGGTGTATTCTTAAATCAGTTACGAGGAACATTTGTCCTACTAATCTCTGAGAATCTTGATTGAGACAGTTTATGTTAATGACATGTAAAACTTTGCTAATGAAAATAAAACACGTGAGAATTTCATTAACAGATTACGGAAACATTTACTTTAACTTACTTTGTTTAGCTTTATCCTCTTCGCCACTGATGACCTGTTAGCCGCTTGGGTGGTCGGTCATGTCTCTGCTACGCACTGTTGGCAAGTACTGGGTACGTACCTGTGCCAGTGTTGGTCAAGTTTGGTCGGTGCCGTCACAACACTCTTTGGCAGATTGTTCCAAGAGTTCACTACACTCCAAAAAAGTTTGCCCTCATAGTTTTCTGAACTTGTGGCTTCTTCAAAAGGGGAAACACCTCACTTTTGAAGAGAGGTCTTGGTGTGTGAACGACCTTCTAAGACCTACAAACTTATTTGTTTGATTCACCTTCCTACAATGGTCCGAACACTTCGGTTCGTTGTCAACATACAAACTCGGGGACCTTTTCACACTTGGTCACAGTTAATGATGCTTCATCATCACGTTGGGACACGTGATGCGCCTTCTTACCGTTGGTACGACCTACTGCAGGTGCATCCTTTTGTATTTTGTGACGGTGAATCTCAACCATTCCTTTGACCACTCTTGATGCCGACCGAATTCTTTCTGTTGTGCCTCACAGTTCGTTTGGTTCTTCAAACATTTTTTTTATGGAGGAGTGTTTAGCATATGGCATATCATTTATCAATAGAGGAGTCACATAAGCCAGTTTCCAATCACTGGGGACCTTTTGCTCCTTCAGGCATCTACAGAACAGGATCTTCAGGGGCTCAGCAAGCTTGCTGCACAACTCTCTTAGTACTCTGGGATGCACGCTGTCAGGGTCAGGGCTCTCATAAACCTTTAGCTTTGACAATTTGTTTGTTCCTAATACTCTTTCGGAGTACACTTATGTGCATCAGAGATGTGTCAAACCGTGTTTCCCCAAACGCAGGAAGATTGTTCGCTTCTTCTCTTGTGAACACCGAGGAAAAGAATTTGTTTAACGCCTCCACCTTTTCCTGATCCGAGTCTGCGTAACCACCACCTTTAAATCTCAGATGCGTAACGGTACAGAGCTTGACATCGTTTGCAATCCGCCTCTGGAACTCTTTCTCAGCCTTTCTACACTCTGACTTTGTTTGGTTTCTGGATCAAGCAAACAATGCATAGATCCTCCCGTCGTGCTCATCATTTGACCTAACTCACGTCTCGAATTTCTAAGTTTTCTTCTTAACTTTGTTGACCGCCACATGGTTCATGTGTAGGGGTCTCCTTGTATTCCTGGAGCCAGTGGATTTGATCTTGGGTATATATTTATCAGTTAAATCTGAAGGACAACGTTACGTGGTGGCTGGTGCCAACGGGGGCCAGATGTTCCAGCTTGGCCACCATACTCTCCTCGCTTGTTATGATGAGGTCCTGTGGCTTGGGTGTTTGCTCCCCTCTGTACTGAGTCGGATCTTTAACTTGTTGGAATAGAAAATTGTTTCAGAGTTCTACAAAAAGAGTAGCGGGATTATTCAGGTCTTTGATGTAATTTCATTCCTGCAGTCGATGTCGCCATAGTTGATGTCCCTCATGACGGGAAGTTGAGCGCCATTGCGTCGTCTATTAAGGCTCTTATATTATCCCTTTGGTTTAGTGAACTGCAACTGAAGGAACTATAAATACATCAAACATGAGTATCTCTTCCCTTCAGTTTAATTTTACATCATTTTAATTCTCCAAAACCGTCTTCCCCTGCACCCTCACCTGTCTAGCATAACTAACAAGCTACCAGAGAGGTTCGTCAATGAGTCATATCCCGCTATATTAAACTCACAATCCTCCGGGTCATATATACAACAGTTCCACAACAGTGAGTGTACAGTACATGACGTCTATGGCGGAAATAGTCCTCAGTAGTGGCTTCGATCTTCGTAGTGGATCAGTCCTCCTTTCATTCTTAGCAGCCGCCTCGTTTACTATATTCACCGTGCTGTGTGGGGGTGTGGTCAAATACATAATTAATTAACTGTTGCGCGCCTCCTCCTGGGTGGGAGGTCGTGGGGCTGGGGAGGAGTCGTTGTTCCACATGTTCACTCTTCTGGTTCTACGTACACTATTTTCCCCTTTTTATATATAATCCACCAGAACCTGTCCTTGTTTTCATCTCTTTTCTTGAAGCTCAGAAGGAATTCATTGTACTGTTTCCCTCAGCATAACTGTACGATCTGGACTTGTGAATATGTTCTGAAAGGTTGGATTGTCTGCTAAGTTTTTTTGCCTGTCGAATGAAATCCTCATTTTCTACTGTGATCCTGTGGGGGCGGGGTTTACTTTCCAGCTTTTTCCCTAACCTACTCATTACGTTCGAGTCAGCTGACAAAATCATAACCTCTTGTCGTGTGTTTTCCTACTTTCAGCTTCGTCTGATGGACTCCCAGGGACTCCATACACGGTTATATTGTCCCTGCGCTCGAGACGATCCTGGCGTTCCCTCTCTCCCATATCGGTGCTTGTTGTGATCTTCTCAACACTCTTCTGCAGAGCCCCGAGCTGTTGCATGACATGTTCTGCCTTCTGAGCCTACATCCCTCTCATTCACCTTCTGTGTCCCTGCCACAACCGTAGAGTAGCTTGTCTTGATTAATTTCTCTATCTTATCAACTGTTTCTTCAACCTTAGTTAAAATCTCCCTTCAACTTACTCTAGTTTGGTAACCACCAAGGATCCAACTTCCTCTACTTTGACTCTACTGTAAATTTCTTTTTCATTTATGATCTGAAATAATCTCGCTGGCTTTCTAGCAATACCAGCGACAAGTTCTAAAGTGTCAAATTCAGTAGAGTCCTTTCTGTCCTCAACTGCACATCGTTGCATAACTGCTCCTCACAGTAGTTTCATGCCAATAAACCCCCTGGTGTCACACACTCTGAACCACTACATCTATGCCCGTCTCTTATAAGTGTTTTGTGCTATGCGTAAATTTAACTGTGTAACACGTAGCATTGACAGCTGTCACCAGCGACGAGCTCGAGAGGGTAAGAGCGGGCAGGGGGAAACGTCTGTCAGCTGTGGAAATTTAAATATAATGCACTGTGCGTTCTTAAGAGCACAATTCACAATGTCATATAATTTTACTCCCAATTCTGTGTCTGCAAACTCTTAATGTCGAGGACCTTTAAAATACGAACTGGTTGCATTACCCCGGGCCTCAGTGCCGGGTGTGGGTGGTGGGGTGATAGAGCCAACATCGCTACAGGGATGACTGTCTTTACAAAGTCAGAATCTCTTAATAGCTATAATTTCAATATGCACTAACACCCGGGAAGCCTTTATGCTCTAGTTTAGTGGCAATATCAAATATAATAGTCAACTTGGCTCCCTCGCTCGTCCACTGTTGCTGCCTGAAAAAGTTCATTTTTTCCCTTAGTCTATTTTTCCAGCATTCCTCGACAGTTGTTGGCATCACTGTGTGCTGACTTTAAAGTATTCCTCGACACACGTTTGATCTTCCTTTATAAATGGTGGATCACATTACCAATAACAGTCATTAAACAGTTTTGTTTTTTCATTGTACCCGAGTAGTGTTAAGCCTGTTGTTACCTCCAAAGGTTCACTATTATTCCACTTAATTTATATTCGTTTCCTCAGCAGTCACTAGTATCACCAGTGACCGTCTCACTCTCGCCACACGCTCTCATCATGGACGTGGCTAAATTAAATCTTCTGTATGTATCGTGACATGTGGCATATAATTTTTTGGCTGTATCCACACAGCTTGGCTCTAATTCCACAAAAAAAAATCTATATATTTGACCTTCAATCGCGAATGACAACAAACGTGCTGCACCAACTGACTGACACATTCGCTTCAACAGAACGACCTTGATGACTTTACGAATCCACTGTCCAACGGGTCATGAGAAGGCAAAAAAAAAAAAAACAGACGCCATATTGCCTCAACAGTTGCTGAACTAGATCATCAAAACTCGGGAAAAATCTTCATTTTTTTTTTAAGGGGTCATACAAGTGGAGTGAACTTAAGGTTAAAGTGACCCAGGGGCGACCAAAACGTCGATTGCAGTCTACCAGTAGATAGCAAAGCAATTTCTGGTAAATCGCGGGATGGGCAGTAGCGGTGTAGCCCGTCAAGTACAGTACACGGCACCACTGCCGTGAACTGTAAGCGATTTTTGTTGTCTACGTCATCGGTTGTGATCGCCAAGCAGCTGGCGAACCACTCCACGAGTGGCACGCACCGTCCGATATATACATAACGATTAGTTACAAGAAAATGTATTCACTTCAAACGAGAATAATAATGATACTAATGATAAAACCATAATCATAATAAAGTAGTACAGGATGTAGCTACATAATTATTTAATACTAATACAAGACATAATAACGTACTAATTATAGTACCCCAGCACATCCCTGGGTACTGAGGGCATCACAGGCACGTGGTAATTGGTAGCAACATTCATGACATGTTTTGCCTTTGTATCTAACAGTCATTTAGCAAGGAAGGACACATTTAAATAATTTGGGGAATCATTAATTCATAATGTCACAGAAATTATCCCACTAACATACAAATCTGCCAAATTTCATCCGCCGGGTTTCAGCAGCTTGCTGACGCCATGTAGTGCAAATCACCACATCAGTAAATAAATTCTTCCCCATACGGTTCTTACATTGAGAATTATATAAGCAATGTATGTATGTTTTCATTCACATATATTATTGGTTACTCTCTCTCTCTCTCTCTCTTATTATCTGCTGGAGGTTAGAAAAAATTGTGTGAGTAGATCACGTTTGGATAACCATGGAAAAGGTAGACCCAGTCACACGAAAGTCTGGCCACCCCTGCAGGTCGTTAACCCAACCTAACCTAAATAAGAGAACAAAAACTTTAAACTACGCTTTCAAAAACGAAAAATGGAGATAAGAGACAAAACGACATTACTGACCCTTTGCTGGAGGTCCAATGGCCGTGGGTGGGTGTTGGCGTGCAGGCTGTGGGCGTGATTGTGCCGTCCTTGAGGTGGGCGGCAGGGTAGTGTGGGTGGTCCTGGTATCCACGCTCCTCGAACACCCCCCATCGGTAGCGCGCCCACCCGCCCACCACCGAACCTCCTGTAACACAACACGGCGTTAGTAAATATTTTAAGAGTCGTTATTTATAAACCTGGAACACACACACACACACACACACACACACACACACACACACACACACTCTATTGAAGGTCACAGGAGGATTATACAAAGCCTAAACTAGTGTAACAATTCTACAATGATCACGAGTAGTATTTATGTGATGGTATAATTCTTGTTATACGTACAATATATGGTGTAATTTAGTTTGAGTCTAAATAGTATTTGCTGTGTTGTCATCATGTTGAATTATCTGTTCTTGTGGTTATTTTTTGTAATTGTACTTATCCTTGTACCTGGTTCTGTACTTTTTTTTTTGAACTTGTAACTTGTATTATAATTGTACCTGTAATAATGCCTCTTTGTATACTATTTTTTCACTAATTATACTCGTTTTTGTAGCCATATTTTTTAAAATCTAATATTACTTCTATGCGTACTGTAATATTTCAATAATAATGTTTGCTTTTGTATATATTTCTGTACTTACATCTGTCTATTCTCATGCTTGTATCTAAGCTCACACTGTAGTTTCTGTAGTCAAAATAAAGGAGTACTCACCCAGCGTGTGTAGGTCTGAGGGCTCGAGCTCCTGTAGAACGTCGGCGTCAAGGGTGATGTACTGGCCCTCACGTCCACACCCTTCAGGCTGAGCCACGCCTATACCCACGCTGCCTTCAGGTCCCCACGCCCACCCCGCTTCCACGCCTCCTGCAACCACGCCAACATGTTATTGATAGAACCACTGATTAATATCATCACTGGTAAATAAAATACAATACACGTCCCTGTGTCAGGCATTTGACACTCACTAACTGCTATAACAGTTGACAACAAAAATACAATATGCATCCAAATATTGCATAGGTACATTATTTTGCAGTAAACAGTAGCTAATTGTCATCAAAGTGAAATTTGTGTTTCTATAGAATTATACATAAAACAACCACTGCTATCAATGTTAACATGTACTGTACAACACCATCCTACACTATTGTGCACCAAACATTCATAAAAAGCAAAACAATAAATAAAAAAAAAGGTTTATTCGGTTTTGATTTTCTACGAGCTTTCAAAACTTTAAATATTTAATATGTGATAAACACAGTACACAGCAGACCTCCGGCAACTGTTATCAATAGTTGTGTTTCGTCTGATCAACACTGCCCTTCCGAAACACATCATTATATTTTTTTAAGTTTAACCCGAGGTCAAAATACTGTATAGTATATGCCAACACCACACTTTCCAGCCTTCCTGGGAGGTGTGTCTAATGCACGGGGCGTTACTCGTTTGTAAGTTGTTGTTCAGTAAACGCCTTAGATCTTTGAAGCAGGTAAACACATCAAAAACAAAATAAGGACACTCACCAGGCGAGAGTCTGATGTCCGCGGTGCTCCAGCGTTGCCAGGTGGCGTGGGGTGAAGGTGGCAGACCGCACGCCCGGGACACCAACCCAGGCACCACCACACTCACCTCCCCTAAGTGCACGCGGCCACGAGTCGATCTCCAGAGTCGCAGTGAGAACGACCCTAGAGTATCCTGGAGACAAGAAAACGTGAGGATTAGTCAGTGTGTGTGGCTTCAACCTCGACATGCAGTGTTAATAATAATAATAATAATAATAATAATAATAATAATAATAATAATAATAATAATAATAATAATAATAAATGATATAATAAAGTAAGAAATGCTGCCAAACATGGAAAAATAACAACGATTATCACAACTTCTAAATTCCTACAACAAAAACAACAACAACTACAATAATAATAATAATAATAATAATAGTTCAGTAGTATTGTAGTATTCATCTCAGAGTACATAGCGGTTGTCTGTGTCCAAGCTGCCCTAACTAGTCTGTAGAACACGTACACTTGACACATTGCTTGGTAAATTTAACAACACTCATATAATTAGCACAGCACTGTGTTTGAGGGGAACTAAAAAAATATTGTCCTTGGCTTTGTGTCTTATTTTATACTCTCATTCCCAGTTACTATACGATATGTAAGTTAGCTTATAATAACATAATTTAACCCTTCGTTCACACTCACATCAGTACTGTACAGGTGCAGTGATTCCTACCATCTAACAGTATCAGAGTGCATTAACTCGTGTCTTCTGGGCTGTGTTCGTCTGCTTTATTCAATTTCAGAACAAAGAGCATCATCTCTCCGGCCCGGGTAGCTGACAGTAAGTGCCCACTCAATGGAGTAAGTATGTGGATAAGTACAGTGACGCTGACAAGTGGGTAAGTGCCCTGATGGATAGTGTGAACGAGCGGCGGTGCAGCCTCATATACAGTATACCTGTTATAACCAGAGGGTACTGTATCACGGACATACCAGACACCATTTCCAATTTCGCCCAGTTGTCCTCACAAGATACTTAAAACAAAAACAATGTTCAGGGCGACCATCATCATACAAGGCCAGGCAGTGTGGAGCTCTAAATTGTCATTTCTATAATGGGAGTCCTGCGGGGGGCGTAATTGTTTATTGCCAATTATGCAAATATGGATAAATACGTTAACTGTGTGTGTTGTCACCGCTCTGTGTGGCGTCACGAGGCCAGGTGTGGGACTGTGACGGGCACGAGGAGGGTACACAAGGTCAGGAAGGTAAGGAAGTAATCATGGTAAGTAGGAGTGTCAGCGGGAGGCAGGTGACTAATTACCGAGAAACAAAGTAAGGTGGGGTAATTAGCCGAGGGGTCACCTGCTGCTCTACATACTGTACTCGGCTGCCCTCATTCACTCGCTTTCCTCCACCAAAACACATTACTATTTTCTGATATGACAGCTTACAAATAATGTCCTTATAGATCTGTATCTTAACTGAATAATTACTCGCTCTTTCCAGATACTACAGTTTGTAATTACAATTCTTAACTAGGGAATCAAGTATCATTACAGATGAGCTTTAACCTACGATACAAATATTAAATGAATAATTGTTAATTATAATCAGTATTCTTGGTAAAGCGTGTTACTATTGGCTAGATGTTGACAGGTCGACGCTACACTTACTGTATTGGCGAGATTAGAGACGAGACTGAAAAAGTCATGGCAATATTTAACAGGAAAAACAAATATTTGTGGCCAGAAATTATTCACACACACAGTCTTGTAAACACTTACTATGACGTCTTACAACCCATTGAAGACTTCACCAGTTAAAAAACTCTTAGGCCCGGAGTTTTAAACACCCTCTTCCCTTGAAGAGAGTCGTCGTGTTTCAACCAGTACTTGACGGGGTGGTGTGGTGGTAAAATTAACTAATTACAATAAAATTAATTTATAATATTGTAATTAGTTAATTTTACCGCCACACCATCCCGTTAAGTACTGTACTGCGGTGTCCCTCAGGACTATTTTTTTTTAAACTCTGGTTGAAACACGACGACTCTCTTCAACGGAAGAGGGTGTTTAAAACTCCGGGTGTTCGGCCCCTTTCACACTAAGAGGTTTCTCGCCGCACCTAGATGCGGTGCGGTGCCGGACATAGCATTCGACTGATAGTTCTTATGTACCTCTTCACACTATGCGGTTGCGGTGATTCGCCGGTCCGACACCGGATTGCATGTTCGGCGTTCCACTGGATTTGTCCGATACCGCGTCCGTACGCTGCAAACTGTAGACAAGAGTCCCAAAGTTTGGTCGCTGTACGCGACAGTCGGACGAATGTGCGGCAGAAAACCGTGGTCTCTCAGGTACGGCGACCGCATGTAGGTGCGGCGAAGAACCGCATAGTGTGAAAGAGGCCTCAGAGTAACACATCATCCAACTTTCTGACTATAAAGATATTTTCCTGTACAGATACAAGGTAACAGTTCTTCATAACCAATAACAAAGGCCGTCTCTGGTCAGGGACGTCCACTAAAATGAACATATTTTCTTGGTGTAAGTCGTAAGTGAATTAAGGAAAGCTACATCAGAACGTTAAGGCGGTAAGGTTGAAATATCAATAACTAACTACGAAATTGTGTCTCCAGCTGCAAGTCGTTAAGGTTACGATATCGTAAAGTTAGACACCAGCAAAATTTAAACGCAGACCATCGCTCGTTCCCACTCGTGTCTCAGGTCGTATTGGCGGTGATCCACAGCAGCACAAAGGAGACCAAGACTCAGGGACAGTTTACGCCGTACAGTGCATCATACATCACACATAATGATTACTGAAGAGATGAAATACATGGGTACAACACCTAGTGTAATGTTCACTTTAATAAACCAGTTCGCTGCCTGTAGATGTGTCATGTAAGAACTGAAAACACAAAATAATTCATTAAGTACAGTGAATATTACTACCAACTGCTCACCACTTAACGCTAAACATACCTCACGCGCGCTAACCTCAGGAAGACCTTACATTTGTGTTTAAAATATAAATCATTTTACAAGACAATAACACCAACACAGTGCGTTTGATGGTCAAGTCATCCAGCAATTCTGTTGAGGCAATCCCCGGAGGCCACCCACCATAGTTCATGTAATAAAGTCAACAGTAAAAAAAAAAAAAGAAAAAAAGATTGAACACTTCGGCAAGGAAAAAATACAATCACAGGACGTGGCCAAGATTTATAAAACGATAATAATAACAGTACAATCTTGCCTAGTCTTGGCACAAGGAACACATTCCCCGGCAGCCAGAGTATTGGAACTAATCCACTTAAGTGCTGGTTCTCAAATCTATGAGGAGCGTGGCAATCTTGTCTGACTCGCCTTGGGGCAGTACGAGGCAAGAATACTTAACGCTACCCACCTAACATTACCTTCATCATTTAATACCTGTAATACACCTTTAACACCACACAATAAACTAAGGCTCCATTAGGTAACACCGTATTCTAAATTATATACGATTCGTTAACGTTTCGGTAATGAAAGTTATAGTTGCTTTATAAAAACGACATTAAGTTTGATCCAATACCTTAGTTTACATTATGTTATACGATGCACTTTGAAAACGAGAGAGAGAGAGAGAGAGAGAGAGAGAGAGAGAGAGAGAGAGAGAGAGAGATACCTAGTTATTGTAGCACCCACGTCCACTAGTCTGATAAAATATGACTCATTCTTCTTACCTAAATTACAAATCGACAAACAGACAAAAACAGACTTCAGTAAGACCATAAAAATAAGTTTAATGTTCATCAACGAATGACGCATTACCAAAAATCATACATATTACACATAGTTTCATATCGTAGATGAATAATTCTAAAGTAATCGTGAAATCACCGTGAGTCCTAAACTGAAAAACCTAACTCATGAACTGAATAATCCAATTACTGCAGTGATTGGTCCACCCATCACTGCTTCGTACACACTCCTCCCATGATGGTAGTGTTTATGGTGCACCACTAACACCAGCCTATTACATATTGGCCTTGGAAAGCACACCATATTCTCGCTGCCGGAGTGAGGGCGGGAAACAGTGACCCGGGGGGAGGCTGTGTCGCCGTGGACCCCAGGGTATGGCTTCGACGTCCGCCTGCCGCCTCCAGAAGAATGGGTCGGCACCTGGACAACTCTCTAGTGTCGAGGAAACACAAAATATAAGAAAGAAAACAAGACAAAATAGGAAGTGAAGAACAAGGATTAAGGCAAGACAAAGAGTCAGTTGACGTTATAATGTTATTATTGTGCCTCAACTTAAGGTCTTTAAGGGAGATAGTCTACTAAGAGTGTACCAAGGGTAATATTGCACTTGACTGGTTCCACGACATTTGCTCACAAGACAAATGCTCAGAAGACACATACTCACAAGGCATGTACTCACAAGACTAACCTAACCTAACGTAACCTAACCTTTCCATTAATGTTGTGAGTATTTTTTTTTTGTCATGTGAGCAAATATCAACACACTCACTAGTGTAGACCATCAACAATTATATAAATGATGAGATAGAACCAGCGGAAAAAGTTGTGTGAGAAACAATCACTCGCAGACAAAAATACTGAACAAGGACTGTGAGAGTTGAAGCATCAGTAATACGAGATGAAAGTAAATGTAGTACCAAAAAACAGAACAAATGAGGAAGAATAAAGGTAAGGAATTAAAGATTGGGGGAAGTGAAAGGAGCCAGCGCCTGTCAACACACTGTTTACCATACAGGTTCTCCACGCTGCTCCACCAGTCGTTTTCACCATAACACAATTACGTAACTTGGTGAGAGGAGGAGGAAGAGGAGCCCCGCCGGAGTGTGTGGCGAGGGAGGAGGTTGACGACTACCCACACACTTGCTACACGTAATTGGTCTTTAAGCTAACTGCTCATAAGCACGAACAATTGACGGTTGTTTAGAGAGCCAATGGGTTAACTCCAATGAAAGATAAGCGGCATTTTGGGGGCCCCACACTGACTCCTCAACATCAACAAGCCTTCAAGGTGTTACGGCACTGCCATCAGTACTGTCAGCTTAGTCAGCATCCCACTTAACATTATGAGATTTAATCAAGCTTATGCCACAAATATGGAAATGTTCTCTAAACGTAACTAGTCAGCAACAAACAACCACCACCTTTACGGAGTGTTACTCACTACT